TGCTACTTACGCTGTCTTCAAATTTGTACCTGGGAAACGATGTTTCAAACTATCTTACTTCACATCCAATCACAGGTTGTCATTCAGGAATAACCCCTCCAGTCTTCTTACGTTTTTGACAATACTTCTTGCTCATTTATTGTTCATTGGTAGGCTCCAGTCTGCGAGTTCTCTAGACCACAGCATCCAGGCAAAGCGGAATCGGTCATATTCAGTTCCGTACTTGGGCCAGATTGGTGAATGCGACTTAACATATTGCGGATTACAATTTACACTGGTTTTATGTAAGCGCGAAAGAGCACAGAAATGCGTGTTAATAGGCAGAATACCATTACCGGCAGAGATAAAACAGGCTGGAATGGCGATTTCTGGCTTACTAGTCACCATTCGCCAGCCAGCCATATCAAACCCTGGCTGTTGTAACCCTCTGGGGCCCGAAGCCGCGACCCACGCTCTAACCAATGAGCCAGGGGCTCATGTCCTGTCGGTTGCGGTCAGGAATACGAACAGTGGTAGTGAAAGGCTCACTGATCGCCTTACGAGACATACTCGCCGCATCTTGCTTCGGGGCTCACTCTCGACATCCGCCACCAGCCGTACACAGGCTACTAGGATAGGCAGAGTAACATTACCACCAGAGCCTCAGGGGTTGTAACAGCTGTGGTTGGATGGATGTGGCCAAGAACAACTACTAAATCAGAAGTAGCCATTTCAGTCGCCAATTGTCTCTGCCGGTTATAGTATTCTGCCTATTATACTAGCTGCTGTGCGGTTGCTGGCAGGACCCTAAAGTGAGCGCCAAAGCACAATTGGACAAGTATGGCGCATAACGCCATCGCTAAGCGCCACGCTTTCAGTGTCTGTGAATACTCAGACTAATGGTGACCCATCGAAGGGAAGATGACCAAAAAATGTCGAGATTGCGTGTGGCAGTTGCCGAGGCGGATCCTAAAGTGCGCTTCTTCTCTTATATGAATCAGGAATTTGATTACATATGCTGGTAAACAGCATTCAGTAATAAAGTACTGAAAAAAATGGAAGTGGTAAGTACTTTAGTGAACAAATGAGCGAAACCTGCAACATTAGATAAATTATGAATGTAGTCATGATGATTTTCCACACCAGCCTATTATAACTATTATATATGTGTCTATTTTACCTTCCCGTCTCTTTTAAAGCACATGAACACCAGAGCTTTGAGGTTTCAGGTAAATTAGTAACGTCGCCAGCAGTTTTGGCTATTTAATTGTGCCTGGTAGCCGTCTGGTGGATTCTGAATTGATCGCCTAGAAAATACTGCTTGGGCAGTCAAATTACTCTATCAGAATTGATGGATTTCATAATTTGCAGTAGGCTGGGCGGGTAACTCGATCCAAGGGTTGCTTAACTCCCGGTCCCCGATGGGGCCTCGTAGCTCCAGTTACTATAGCAACGCCTTTTCCTTGCTGCTGTGGGTTCGACTCAACAAAAACCGCCGGGTTTTTCACAACTGAGTCGAAGGAATATTTAAAAAATGTCAAGTAATTGGACAATTCGGGCCTCGAAATATAGATTAACGTCCTATGCGGTCGTGTAACCCTCGACGCGCAGCCGTGTTTTTAGCTTGCTCACAGTGACCGTCGTAGACATTTACGGGCAAGCTTAACATAAAACCTGCACGTCTTGATTATGTCTCTTCGAGCGGAAGCGGTATTTTTTCCGATAATGAGGCAAATGCCACCAACTCCCGTTTTATATAAAGGTTGTACAATAAGCACCTCTTCTAGGGGACATTGGAAAAACTATAATGCGTCATTTTCATCTGCGTAGCAACTTTCTCCTGCATAATGGAAATAATTTAATGATCAGTCAGTTAAGCCAACCGATGAGATGAGACTGACACAAAGGTGAAACAAACACGCTCTGATTATTAAAATATGATGAGGTCATCAAAACTGCGCAATTGGCATGCATAGGGAGCTTGCCGGCAATTAGCTAATCGAACAGCCCATTCTTAGCCGATACTAATTAACTTTGTGTCCCTTCACCTACCCCACCATTTAGCCCGTGTACAATGAGAACGTTCCACCGCTTCCTCCACCTCTTCGACTCACCAGCATTCCGGATCGTCCTGGCGCGATGGCCCTGGGCTGGGCAGGCAACTACACGGACTTCTCACATCTCCACGGCTCAGTTGTATTTGTGCTTCAAACTCGTTTCTGTGCTTGCAAGTACTTTGACCCGGCGCATGTCTCCCCCTGGCAGACCCTTATTATGGTAGGTGTGACCAGGATTTATTTCCATATGCTGTTTTCTACTCGTGGAGATGGCAAAGTCTCAAGTGAGAACCAGATAAAGCAAGCGGTTCCTACCCTTGTGTGCACCTGTGTAGACAAACCCTGAAATAAATAGAACCCGTATCTTAATACAATACGGGGATAATAGTTTGTCTAACAGACACGCCTAGCCGGAGTGCGAATGTTTTGAATTTTGTAATACTCACGTCGGGCAAACTCTTCCAATCTAAGGGCGTGACGACAGGCACTGAGCGCTGAAGTTTGTTTTCAAAGTCCAACTCACTGCTGAAGAATGGATCGATATGCCCGCAGGCTTTAGAATAACATCAAACTCGGGGGAGCCAAAAGGTAGAAATTAAGCATTAATAGATCCTGTTGCAGGAATGACATATTTTGTGACCTTGTGTCCGCAGAAGAACCTTGCACTGACAGAAAAAAATAAGCACGTTGAGTGTAACAATCTGCTTTGTGTTCAGCAGCCGATGGTCCGGCTGTGTCTGGTTGAAGAAAATCTAGAATATGCCTGCAACAATTATCTTCACATATATTCTCATCTTTGGCAGACAGTATTGCCGACAAAGGCAAGGGAGACTGGAATGGCCATTTCCGGCTTATTAGCGATCGCCAGCCGGCCATACCCAATCTCAAGTGGTGCACCAACCGAGGCTCGAATCCGCGACCTTTCTAATCAGAGTCGAACGCTCTAACCATTGAGCCACGAACTCGTTGTCTTGCCAATTTAAGTCGGGAGTTATTGGCACTCGTTGATTAACATTCACTGACTGCTTACGGAAATCACTTGTCCCGATCTGCCTTGGGTCTCATTCCTCGGAATCTGACAATAACCATAATGGCTAGTAGTCTTAGGCAGGTAGTACTGCCGATAGTCGGTGAATGTTCATCAATGATTCTTGTGGCCTGAGTAAGGCCTTTTGTTATTGTCTCCAACTAAGCGAGCAGTGCAACGTCCCATTCGGATGGAACGTGTTTTCGGCCTGTATTTAATCGTAGACGGTTGTAGTTGCGGCCCATGCACCTATATTCATAGGTACATCTGAAGGGCAAA